TCATTCCTATCCTGACAGAGGGCCTTCCAGACTGTTCTCTGTACTCGGGGCACACTCTGCCTCAGCGCCTCTGTACTTGCTTTCCCCTCTGTCTGAAAAGTCTTCCCCCTAGTTTTCTGCAGGGACACTTTCTTTTTTTTTTTTAATTTCTTGGCTCAAGGATCATCTCTGTAAGCCCTTCTCTGGCCCCATTATTTAAAACACTCTACATTCAAATCATTCTAGCACTCTATCATATTTTGTGACTCACTTTTCTCCATACACCTTCTGATGCACCAGAGCACTTTCTTTTGACACATTCTGATGTACCATATAACTTTCTTATTGATTTATTTTACTGCCCATCTCTTCCCACTAGAATATATGCTTCATGAACACAGGCATTTAGGACTATTTTACCACTAATGTATCTAATGTATCTTCAGAACCTAGAACAATGACTGCTGTATGGTTGAGTCTTAATGAACACTTACTGAACAAATGAGTAAGTGGTTAATAGAGTCAAATGCCACACACAACAATTGTCACTATGAAAACATCTAAAGAACATCCGTTGAATTTGGCAGGATGGAGATTATTAACACCTTGTCCAGAAACCAAATACAACATTGATAAGCAATTGTCCTCCAATTAAAAAAGACACCATTATTCAAAGAGGCTTCAACAGAGTGGCAGGGGGAGGACTGCGGATTAGGGAGTGAATGTGAGGTGAAGGAGGAGAGGCAGCAGATGTGCCATTTTCCCGTCAGCCTGGTTCTGAAGGAAGGAGACACACAGGTCTGCAGTGGACAGACACACGGCTAGCATGGAAGAGGACTGGTATTGCTAGGTGAGAGGAACGTGGATTTGTTTCAGGGCTGAAGGAGTAACTTAAGTACTGGCTGAGCTCATGTGTGGCACCGGGATCCATGGACGCCTGGAGCCTCACGGTGGGACTCTGCATCGTGCACCCCAGAAGCAACTAGAATAGGGGAGAGGCAAGAGGGGCTCTGCGGGGCCAGCCCCTGCTCGGCTTGTTCTCCACCAGTGCTGAGGCTCCCCACATGCCCACATGAGGAGAGCTGGGAAACGGAAGCGGAGGGGATGGGGAGAGGCCACAGCCCTGGCCCAGGCTCAGCTCTGAAGCAGCACGGGGCCTTCACAGCCACTTACCCGTGTCCGGGAGCATCCCTGTTTTCACTGCTCCCCAGCTCCCACCCCTTAAAAACAAAAGGATCCTCTTTCTCCTCTTTCACTTTCTTCCCCTTCGCCCCTTTCTTTGACTTTCTGATAAACCTCTTCCTTGCTTAGACAAACTTATTTTCCAAACTGTTGGGAAAAAGAATGAAGGCTCTTATTGCATCAGGGCTTTTCTCTCTCTCTCTCTCTTTTTTTTTTTAATTGAAGTGTAGTTGATTTACAATGTTGTGCTAATTTTTGCTGTACAGAGAAGTGACTCAGTTACACACATATATACATCCTTTATATTCTTTTCCGTTCTGGTTTATCCCAGTAGTTTGGATATAGTGTCCTATGCTATACAGTAGGACTTTGTTATTTATCCATTCTAAATATAATGGTCTGCATCTACCAACCCCGGACTCGAGGTTCATCCCTCTTCATCCCCCTGTTCTCCTTGGCAACCACAGGCCTGCTCTCGATGTCGGCGAGTCTGTTTCTGTTTTGGAGATAGGTTCACTTCTGTCATGTTTTAGATCAGGCTTCCTTGGTGCCTCAGGCAATGGCAAAGAATTCATTTGCAATGCAAGAGATTACCTGGGGGTCTGGAAGTTCCCCTGGAGAAGGGAATGGCTACCCACTCCACATCCTTGCCTGGAGAATTCCATAGGCAGAGAAGCCTGGCAGGCTATAGTCCATGGGGTTGCAAAGAGTCAGATGTGACTGAGTAAAAATTTCACTTTCATAAGTGATATCATATGGTGTTTGTCTTTCTCTCTCTGACTTGTTTCACTTGGTATGAGCATCTCTAGTTGCACTCATGTTGCCACAAATGGCATTATTTCATTCTTTTTGTGGCTTAGTAATATTCCATTGCATATATGTACCACATCTTATTTATCCATTTATCTGTCAGTGGATATTTACATTGTTCTCATGTCTTGGCTATTGTGAATAGTGCTTCTATGAACACAAGGGTGCATGAATCTTTTTGAATTATAGCTTTGTCCAGGTATATGCCCAGGAGTGGGATTGCTGGGTCCTATAGTAGTTCTATTTTTAGTTCTCTGATGCACTTCCACACTGTTTTTCATAGTTGCTGCACCAACTTATATTCCTACAAAGAGTGTAGGAGGGTTCTTTTTTTTTCTCCATACCCCTCCTGCATTTGTTATTGGTAGACTTTTTGATGATGGCCATTCGGGCTGCAGTGAGGTGATACCTCTTTGTAGTTTTGATTTGCATTTCTTTAATAATTAGCAACATTGAACATCATTCCATGTGCTTGTTTGGTCATCTGTATGTCTTCTTTTAAGAAATGTCTATTAAGGTCTCCTGCTCATCTTTTGATTGGGTTGTTTTTTTGCTGTTGAGCTGTCTGAGCTGTTTATATATTTTGGAGATTAAGCCCTTGTCAGTTGCATCATTGCCAATAGTTTCTCCCATTCTGTGGGTTGTCTTTCTGGTTTTTTTTTTTTTTTTTAATGGTTTCTTTTGCTGTGAAAAAGCTCATAAGTTTGATTAGGTTCCATTTGTTTATTTTATTTTATTGCTTTTATTTCTGTTACCTTGGGAGACTGACTTAAGAAAATATTGGTATAGTTTATGTCAGAGAATGTTTTGTATATGCTGTCTTCTATGAGTTTTATAGTGGTATGTCTTATGTTTAAGTCTTTAACCCATTTTGAGTATATTTTTGTGCATGGTGTGAGGGTGTGTTCTAACTTTATTGATTTACATTAAGCTGTCCAACTTTCATATTGGGGATTTTTTTAAGAGCTGAGAAATCTTTTCTTATTAGATTGCTGGCTTCTGTAGTGCTCATTGGCTGGATCTGGGTCACATTCTCACCCCCAAGCCCATCAGTGCCAAAGGGAATAAGACAGCCCTGGTTGGCTTAGCCTGCTCGTGATTTGCCCTAGTTATGTGGCAAAGGAGTTATACACTGGGACAAAATACGGGATCTTTAAGCCTGGGAAAAGGGAGAAATGGCTTTGTGTGGGATACAAACAGTTAAGAATATGGATAATGATTCAGGAAGGCCATTCAAGGTAGAATTGGGCTGCCGGAGGGGGCAACATGGCCCTAAATGGGTCATCAACTTCCCTTATTCTGTATCTTGCTATTAGCTGCCACCTAATGCAGGGATGGCTTCCCCGGTGGCTCAAGGGTAAAGAATCTGCCTGCAATGCGGGAGACGTGGGTTCGATGCCTGGGTCAGGAAGATCCTCTGGAGAAGGAAATGGCAACCCACGCCAGTACTCTTACCTAATAAATTCCATGGACAGCGGAGCCTGGCCGACTGCAGCCCATAGGGTCACAGAGTCAGACACGACGGAGCAACTGAGCATAAAGACAGGTACAAAGATGTTTCTTCCCATCTTGACCAAGAATCCAGCCTCAAGTCTGGGCACTCCGGAAAACGCCACTTGGTGGTCAAGGATTGGAAAATGCAATAGATCCTTGAACCTGTGGACCTCACTCCTGGATTCCTTTGCTGGGTCTGCTTTCTCTGGTCTAACTTGATTCTTTCCACAGGCTTATGTGTGTCTGCCACCTGGTGGTAAGAATGGGTTCTGCAGGCTCTGCAGAAGGAGTGGCTGCTGTCCTTGGAGCCTCTGGGCCCCTCTGCAGTAGAAGGGACCCCACACTGAGAAGATTCTAGAATGGGTGCTCAAATAGGGCCAGTGGGAGGCTCCCTGAAGTTGAGCATCAAGGCATAGATCTCATAAACGCGTGGCAAGTATGACCTTTCTCCCCCTCCTAGACTCTCTTTCCACCACTCCTCAAACCTCTCAATGTGCTTCCAAAAAAAAAAAAAAACCAATAACAATACCCCCAAAACTTGTTTCTTCCTTGACTTGGTAACCTGACTTGACATGGTAAAATAGGAGAGAAGGACAGCAAGTGGACCCATAAAGTTTCCCCTTACCTACTGGCCGCCCGACCAGTGTTTCTTCTCTTATTGCCCATCTCTGTGCAGCCAAGCCCTTCTTCCTTCTGCTTCCCCTTTCCTGTCCATCAAGACCTCTGACGCCCTGCTCTTTGCTTAGACATTGCTGCAGCCTCAGCTTTATCACAGAATACCCCCGCCATGGTAACTAGAAACCTGACTTTCTCATGAGGGAAACATAAATATGATTACATGCATGCATGTGGTAATACATGGTAATTCACAGCTCTCTTGACCAGAGGCTATGGTTTCCCTGACACTCCTATCTGAGAACCAAGGGATGGGATGATACGCTCTTGGCTTCCCATTGCCCTGCCCTCTATTTTTCAAGAAGCCTGACTTCTTTTCAGATTTATCAGTCTACAACATCTTATGTCGCTTCTTAAAAAATAATTTTTCAAAAAAGAAAGTAATATATTCACATAGTAAAGCATCTAATATTTATAAAGATATAAAAATAGCAAAAGTCTATGTCTCCCTCCCCTATGCTGTCCTTCTGCCTCACCTTCACTGCCTATTCCAAAATAACAACTGTTGATACCTGGATCTGGTCTCATCACTTCATGGCAAATAGATGGGGAAACAGTGGAAACAGTGGCTGACTTTATTTTTCGGGGCTCCAAAATCAGTGCAGATGGTGATTGCAGCCATGAAATTAGCTTACTCCTTGGAAGGAAAGTTATGACAAACCTAGACAGCATATTAAAAAGCAGAGACATGAGGGGAGGCGGGTGGCCGTCGGTGCCGCGGTTTTGCCCCGGGGCTCAGCGGAGGTGGCCACGCGCCGGCGGCCCACGGTGTGGCGGGGATGGCCTCTGATTCCCGGGGCCCGCCGGCTGTTCGAGCCCCGCCGGGCCCGCGCTCGCCGAGGCGGAGGGTCGGGGAAGCGTGGCCCCAGCGGCGGGCCACCGGGTAGGGTGAGGAAGGGTGAGCGAGGGGAAAACACAGGAAAGGACAGTGCGGGTGGCTGTGAGGTGCCCTCACCTTCAGGCGCCGTGCGGGTCTGATCCGAAGATCATGCCTGGTGGATCCTTTTCGGAAGGAAGAAGAATAATATTTATTCCTTAAAGTGTGGAGGGCGCTTGCACCTAGGGTCCGAAATTGAGATGCACGGGAGTATATAGAATTTAAGCCTTCTCTCAGAAGTGTATTGGTAGAGTTAAAGAAGAAGACAGCTAACCAAAGGTCATCTGAAATTGTGACTGGCTGATAATCCCAGGACAAAATTAGAGATCACTACTCAAGCATAAGGCCTCCAGGAAGATGTTTGACCTAAAGGCCTGGGCTGAGTATGTCGTCGAGTGGGCTGCAAAGGACCCTTACGGCTTCCTTACGACAGTCATTCTGGCTCTGACTCCATTGTTCCTAGCAAGCGCTGTGCTGTCTTGGAAACTGGCCAAGATGATTGAGGCCAGGGAAAAGGAGCAAAAGAAGAAACAAAAACGTCAAGAAAATATTGCAAAAGCTAAACGACTAAAAAGGATTGACGGAATGAACAGGCTGTGTGTCCAGAGGAAAATTGTTCGGAAAATTATGCATCTTTGAAAGGACCCATTAAGGTTTCTTTTTGGATCTTATGACAGTATTACTAAACGAAGTCTGAGTCTATGGAAGAATCATGTCACTTCTCACCTGTACTGTAGCAGCTTTTCGGCTTCGGTATAGAAGTCTGTTGACAGTTACTGTAAATGGGCATTTATTATGCTACAGATTCTTTTAACTGACTTTCATTTGCCTTTTTGCAGCTTATGTATGAATACTAAAATGAAAACATCCTGTGAAGAAAAGTGACTTTAGATTATGAACTCTATTCAAATAATGGCTTAAAATGTGGTCCTCTTCTGGACAGAGGAGATTAAGAATGTAAAAATCAAGAGTTGTTCTGAGCAGAAAAGCGTGGTTTGGCTTAAAAGATACATGGTGTATTAATTACATCTCTTATCGTTATTATTTCTTGGAATAGAATCATTTCTGGTTTCCTCAAAACAAAATAATATTATTCAATGAGTACTTCTCTATTTTCTGTATTTTTCTTACTTTAGCTTTTGAGAT